GACTACATACATGTAGCTGTTTAAAAAGGCATGTGACTGTACAGAAAATGCTCACTTCATAGAGTTATGGTTATGTTTAGAAGTTACATTACATTGTACCAATAAGGTTTAAATTACAATGTATGAGAATATCAGAATCTGAGAGGTGTGCTTCTGAATAGCACGTCAATTTGATGCCATTTTTACCCAATTAAGGACTTTTAGTAATAGGCCATCAACCATGTCATCAAAAAAGGGAAGCCGTTGAAAGATTGCTTTTGTTTTACATTTCTTTGTTTTAAAACTACTAAGGGTGCAATCCGCAATATTGAACTCATTTTCTTTTCGGATTTCAGATTTGAAGTCTCTTTTTGTACAAAAATACATGATATATTCAAATTCAAAAGGGCACTTCTACTTTTAAAATCCATTTTTTCCCCCCTGCTAAACAGAATAACGTAATAAAGTACCATTCATAGTCGACACGTCACCAACTACAGGTAGTTTGGTGTATCTTGAGTCTAAGCCCAATTTGACAACTTTACTTTTGATAGAGTATCGGTGACAGTGATAGATATTGCAATTGACCCTTCCTGTAAAAAAAAAAAAAAAAAAAAATGAAACATGGATTGGATCTTGAGTCTAAGCCCAGTTTGACAACTTTACTTTTGATACACAGAGTATCGGTGACAGTGACAGATATTGCAATTGACCCTACCTGTAAAAGAAAAAAATCGAAACATGGATTGTATAATTGTAACATCAGCAAGACAGCAAACAGGTTATAGTTTAGCAGTCCCCCGAGGCTTAGAGTGTGTCCAGTTTTTAAAGATCCGTCATGCTCACGCTCGCCAATTCCAGTATGTCAAGTTTCTGACTTTGATTACCGTCCAGGCACATTAGGCGTAACATTCCTCAGGCCATTAATTAAAACCAAATCCCTGACATACACGTACCGGGGTACCTAGGGGGTTTGCATGACGGAAAATGTATATTTGTCATATTTTGTACATGAGGAGGACTTTATGGTTTCAGCGTGGGCTGACGTGTTTTGCGTACTTATCCCCAGGCTACATCTGCATGTACTGTAGCTCTCATGAACTTTTCACTGGCTGGCTATGTGTTATTTTGTACAGTTTGTAGTAGGGGACTGTTCTTTCTTGACCTTATGCCTGACAATCTAAGATTTTGCCAGTCTGCAACTGTTACTCCACCAAAATCCAACAAGATGCAATAGTTGTTTGATTCTGTTCATTTAAAGGTACAGTCCATCTTTTTTAATTTGTGCATTTTGTTCGTTGGAAGCAACAAACGTGCTCAAAATCTAAAGAAGGGTGCTAAACAACTAACCTGATGAAGTTTCAGCTCAGCTTCAGCTGTAAATTTTGAGGAAAAAAACCAGCATTATAGGATCTTGATTTCAAATCAAAATTTGCTGAATCATGTTTTGAATTGGGCCTGAATTCAGTGTCCGAGACACGTTCTTACTGAGCCGATTGCAGCTACGCGATGACGCGCACCGATCCGACGAATTATAGCAACCGTGCGGAAATTTCCAATGGTGCGTCTTTAGACAATCTGTTGGAAAGGCCTTCGTTGAGTTCTTCAAAATGACAGCTTGCCAGAACGAATAATTTTACAGGGAGTTTGGTCCTCTTACTTTCTTTCAACCAAGTATGTTTTCAACAATAATTACGTCAGTACTTGTTGGATGGCTACAAATGATAGACTGTAGCTTTAAGCAGTAGCAATGAACTGTACCATACAGAAAGTTGCCTTGCTCTATATAGATATGACTGTGTACATGTACATGACATTGTCCATGTACGGGCAATTCAGTGCAAAAGTGGACATACCTGAAAACAAGAAAAATGTGTGACATCTCCAGAACTACTTGTAAGCATCACAACCTCAAATGTGGTATCAAATAAAAGGGGACAACAAGACCTTTTCTTTGAGTGGTGTGCCAAATATACATACCTTGGAAATTTCAAGGATTACTTTTAAAAATTACATTGGGACCAGTCACATACAGTCAAATTTCACTTCCACTTCCCCTGCTATACTTTTAGCAAAGGCTAGTCACCAGCAGTCAGATCATATCTCAAGCAAACACTGTGGCTAGTCAAACTGGGTCAACAAACAAAGCAGGCAAGTTGTGGTCACAGCTGGCTTATCAATCACCTACAGTCAAAGCATAGCTGTATCAAGTTGCATAAACAGTCCAAGCCAGTCAATCCTGCTTTATGTAGGCTGGAATTTTTAACTTTTGAAAATAGTCACTTCTTTGATTTTGACTGAAAGGACTACTTGGCACAGAGTGTATGTTTGCATAGGAGGGTTTTAAGGAGAGTCAGTTAAGTTTACATGTCGATGTTGTTGCAATATTTGTAGCTACTAAGTGCAATCCAGTGACATCGGCAGTAACAAAAAGGTGTCGGAAGAAAAAAAAAGGGCATGTCATTGTACATGTAGCCTATTTGCGCAGCAATTGTGAATAGCAAGCTTCCCGAGAGCTTCCGAGCTATCGCAAGCAATCAGTCTATTTGAGAAGAGAGAGTACCATGTTGATGCTGCACTTGGCTTGCAAAGAGGCCGATAAATTGCGTCTGTCGTACTGCCTCAGCGTTTCCCCCCAAAACCTCCTATATATCCTCTCCCTTTGTGGATTTATAGAGTAAGGGTTCTCCTGTCTGTAAATGGCGGCTTTGGAGGACTCCGTTGGCGGTGTTATCGCATTGATCTTCAGCGATCCTTGTCACGCTGACAGGGATCGTTGCGATCAACCAGCCACTCTCGCTGTCTTATAGCCGCCTCTGTCTGAGCTCCTGTCAGCAGCTTGCTGAAAAGAGGGGTTTGCATTCGGTCACAGGTAATTGAAATTGCTGATGTGCACCTCTGAAAAAAAAAGAGGATCTAAAACAAAAAAGCCTCTAAAGATAGATGTGTCGGATTGCGCAGTTCTCATACATGTACATAGAAACTTGTGTTTTAAATTCAGAGTACCTGGTACATGTACTGGAGGGAGAGGAAGTTAAATTAGATAGGATTTAAAGGTTCACATGGTGAATTGAGCAATAAGAAAAAGCTTACGTTGGAACCATTTTTACTATATTTAAGCTGAATGAAAAACAAAAGCAGTCTTAAATTACAAAGAAAATTCCAACACCATATTTTGCAGTCTAAATTCAGAACTTACCGCAAAGTAAACAAAGTGCTATTTTTATTTCAAGCCTTGTAGAATCATTTGTAAAAATGATAAAATAGCGAACTGAGTCTTTTTTTTTAGACACCCTGTACATCTACGTCTGTATTTCCAAGCAAGCACTCCCGACACCCATGATATAAAACTTCACAATCGCTTGGCCTCATTTTCCTGTCTCAAGCATTCTTCAAGCTGTCACTGTAAAGTAGTGCTGTTGTCTCTTTTCTGTCACCTCAAAAACCTGCCCTGCGGACACTAGTCGGTAAATGCTCCTTATTTTTCAAGTAAAAGCTTGTTTTGAGTCTTGTGCAAATATGGTGGTTATATAGCACTTGTCATGTCACAACCAGCAAGCTAAATGTTGCTTGCGGTCACATCACATCCCTTCCCTTTCCCCCACCCCCATCTGTTCTCCGGCCCGAGGGGTTTTGTGCTTTACCGTCAGGATTAATTGTACATTAACGCCATTATGGCATTGTGTGACCGCAGTAGGGCCCAAATCGATATCGCCTGCCCTTTTTGAGCTCCTGTTCTAAGTGGGCGTTGATGCTTGTCGTGCTTGTGGATAGAATTCCAATGAAACCTCCCCCCCACCTCTTCTGGGGCTGAGCATGTTCAACCCCCTAGAGGGGTTGCATTGATCATAAGTCTCGGAGTGATAAGTTCAAACCCTCGAAGGTTTGCTTTGCGAGATCATGACTGTCATGACGGATTATTGGGCAGTCGAGCACCGCTTCTCGGCAACCCTTGCTTGATTGCCAACTTGAGCAATTTTTTTTTTTTAATTTGATTGGTCAAATGCCAATGCAAATGGTTGGCATGGGGACAGGAAGCGTTCTCTCCAGGAGAAAAACGATCCGGAGCGTGAGGCTGTTTTGAGAGAATTGACCGGAATGCTAACGACTTTGAACGGCGACACGTCAGAAGTTGCGAGGAACTTGTGATTGACAAGTTCAAGAGATGTGTACATTAGCTCTACTGAGAATTTCTGTTGTTGGAAACAAGAGACACAAGTTTTAATCCTGTTCCTGTCAAATGTTTTAGTTCATTTAAAATCTGCTTTTAAAATTACCTTGTCACGTATGGTTTCTTTGATAATTTGAAGAAAACAAATTTAAATGTAAGGGAAGGAAAAAGAGAGCCACAATTTGTGTTTAATTATTTAGCTTCTTGTGAATCTTGTCTTAGTTTAAACACATAATTTTTTTCTGAAATATGTACATGTACACGAGGAGGAAGTTATGGATGTAATAGGGTGATAATTATTTGTTTTTTCATACATTGCTCAGAACTGTTGGGGCACCTAAAATATTAACCATAACTCCCTAGCATGATTTACTAGGAACCATACCCATCCTGGCAAATTCCAACACCATATTGGAAACTGCACACACATATTTCTGACTTATATATTCAACTACATGTACATGTACATGTACATGTACTGCCCCCAATTTACCAAATTTGTTTAGTCCATATTTTGTTTGCAATCACGACCGTGAATGGGTGCAAGCCAGCTAGACTGTTTCCCCGACCTTACAATTTCCAGATGGACGTCTATAAATTGCTCTGTTTCATCTTAAGAGGGGTCAGGGAACCAGACTGCAGGAACATTATTGGTTTTCTTGGTTTTTCCCAGCATCTATGAGCACAAAAACTTCAATGTAACGATATTTACTATAAAATTCTAACCCACCAAATCCATCTTTTTCTGAAAATTACAGCAAAAGCAAACGTTGTATATTCCCTTTAACATCCCTGTTCCATCTTTCTCTCCATTCCCTTTCTTATTTTGTTCACTCCCTGATTTCAACAGGGTCCCTGCCGAGGCATGTCAGCCCCAAAGATCTCTTCCTGTCCTCGGCCAGCATGGAGATGCAGCAGCTCCAAGCCCTCAATCAGTCGGTGAGAGCCTTTGACAAAGCCCGGAGATTGCGTCGCTCCATCACCCAAGACAAGAGCGAGCCCTTGCCTGCATGGATGAAGCACCAGGTAAGACGTTTGAGTAAGACCTCGTTGGATTTGAACCAAATTACATTGTCTCACATTTCTCACAACTCATTTTGTTAAAGGCACATGGGATCATTTGCATTTATCCCAAAAGTAACCTAGCGAATTATAATCAAAAAAGCTTATTTGGGTAAAAGATCCCACTGGTACTACACTTCCCGTGAAATTATTCTGTCTGGCTTGCTGTCATTTAGAAGAAATCGGGAAATTCTAACCTTCAGTCAATGGACTGATTGTTGGAAATAAAGAGTTCTATTAACAAAATCGTGTTTGGGGATCAAAGGTTGTGTATGGTATTTCACTGTTTTCTCAAAAAGTGTCATATCCACTGAGCTGAAACTTTGGACACTTTTCTCTTCTGCTTTTAACTATTTTTTTCTTCTTTGGATTTTGAGTGATTTTTTTTTGGGGGGGGGGTGGTGGTTTGGGTTAATATCTCATTCAAAAGTTGTATTTTTGTTCATGTAAATCACAAAGGGAAAGTTACCAGGTGCAGTTCTTAAAAGTTGAACAAATAAATTGGCTGAAGCAGGGTTCAAACCCTGCTCCATTCAATTTCTTTTTACAGCTTATAAAAAAATATATAAGTGAATTGTATAAGTACCTCAAATAAATCTTATATTTGACATAGTTTAGCTATTAAAAAAAACCCCAATATTGTCAGGTTTTATTTTCATCTAAAGTATGTAAGTACATGTCTTGTGCATTAACATGCCCAGTTATATACATAAATTTTACAAGGAGCAATTGATTTTTTAGACTTGACAAAAGAGTCTTCTGGATTTTTGAATTATTTTAAGAGCTTTTGCAATGTCATGCATTGAAAGACATTTGTGCACTCAGGCGTAAGTACTATGTCTGTATTCAAGCATTTGTAAATTTGTCAGCGAAGCGCAAAGGCGACACCGCCTAACATGTTTCGAAACACTGCACGGTGTACATCGTTTCCAAGATCGCTGTCCCAAAATAGAAACCACTTCCTGGAAAATAACCTCGTCAATTACCGCATCACTTCCCCAGCAGAAAGAGAGAAAACTGCAGGCAGAAATCCTTTTGTGTAGAAATTAAGTGTCAGTGATTTCAACGGTGAGTTGTGATGACCGGCCAACAGGCCGTCCAACCAAAACTCCCCGAGGCGGGCGACAAAAAAAGAAAGAAAAAAATATTTCTAAAAATCCCGGGGACTCAAATCGGATTGGGAGACTCCACCAAGAATAGCCTGATGCAATTAGACAGGTGCTGATGGCTCGCTAATAAGCCAAAGGTAGGTGTGAACGGCGTGAAGCATGGACCCCAGGCCCCCCCCCCCCCCTTTGATTAGGGCTGAAATAGCCCAACGGCGCACGGCGACGGGAATTTTATTAATCAAGTTTGAGCCACGATATTACCTTCAACTGCCCTATAATTACATGACTTTCTTCTTCAGTGCTTCTGTGTGTAGCGTTCTTTACAATGCAGGTTCGCTCATCAGAATGCAAAGTTGAATTGTAAATTACAGCTGTTAGATGCACTGCACACATTTTGTTTTTGTGTCTCCAGATTTTGAACACACCAGAACAATTGAGAATAAATTACCGGTACCTACAGGGGTTATGGCTGGATAGAGAAGGGATTGGGGGAGGGGGGGGGGGGGAGTCATGAGTGATGTGAAAATGGCCGTCTTTCCTGTTGAAATGTGTATTTAATCTGCATACAGTGGCTGATATATACAATGTACTCATCATGGTCATAGACCTTTATCATGCTGCCACCATTTCAGTCATGTTCCCTGTATCCAATAGCAGCACTGAATGATAATGGGTTTTTTGTGCAAAAAGGAACCAGACTATTTTTCTTCCAGCATTGCTTTGGCTACATTGACTTGAATGGGAAAAATCCAAATGGCCGCAACATGATAATGGTCTATTGGAGACAGTGAGCCAATGGGCTCAATAGTCATAAGGAATTGTGTTAGTCCATCATCCTCTGTCGATTGATCACCACCCTCTGTTTTTACTGTACATGTACCCCTGTATAAACCTCTTCGTTGCATCTGATGAAGTAGTTGTAGCTACGAAAGCTTAATGCATATTTTCACTCTAGTAATAGTCTTTTAAAGTGCTACCTAATTACTTTTCCATTTGATTCTGCCTGACTTACACGGCTGCCCACCACTTTTAGTTCAGTATGTAGAATGTGAGTCTCAAAGAGTTACTTGTCAAGCCAATCCCACTTTCCCTATTCTTGTACAAAACATGTACAATGTTTGTTTGTACCTTTTTTCATGTTTCCCGTACACTACCGGTACATGTACATGTAGGTGTAAAATTGTTCCATCGACTTGAAACCTGACATTTTCCCGGACATTAACATTAACATGTGCCGTAACTCTTTGCGTGATCATGTTGACAACAGAGCATCCAAATGTGCATTTCCATCCCCGCCCCACAATTCAATTCAGTTTCAATTCAATTTTCAGAAACATTTATTCCGATCAAAAGCAGAGAATTACCACAACCACACAGCGTGAGTGGGGAGAGTTGTATCCTTCCCATCCCCCTTCAGGATTAATGCCCCTGAAAAAAGACACAATGCAGCATTCTGCCCAAGGCAGCAACATTTCAATTATAGCTATAGTCCATCATTTGCAGCCATCCGAAAAGTAACTGGCGTAATTATTGTTGAAAAACAAACTTGGTTGAAAGATAGTAAGGGGACTAAACTCCCTGTGAAATTATTCTTTCTGGGAAGCTGTCATTTTGAAGTAATCAACGAAAGAAGGCATTTCCAACGGTGATTCTTAAGAAGCACCGTAGGAAAATTTAAATTAGTAGTTCGTTTTGTTATTCAGCGCAGCGCGCACAAGTATTGGAACGACGCACACGCGCGCGCGGTTGTTATAATTCGTCGGATCAGTGCGCGACGTCGCGTATAGCTGTAATTCAAAACAATTCAAAACATGATTCAGTAACTTTTGATTTAAAATTGAGATCTTAGAATGCTGTTTTTCTCGGAATATACAGCTGAAGCTGAGCTGAAACTTCATCAAGTAAGTTGTTCAGTATCCTTCATTAGATTTTGAACACGTTTGTTGCTTCAAACGAACAAAATGCACTAATTACAAATGATGGACTATAGCTTTAAATGTACATTGTACCCGTCACAATCTCATTCCCTTGAATCCTGCTTTCTTTTTCTGGAAGTCCCTGTCCCGTAAATTTTGAATATGCATGTGCAACATTAACATGTTAACTTACTTGCTTGGCAATCCTGAAACATTTTTTGTAAAGGGAATGTATAACATTTGCTTTTGCTGCAATTTTCAGGAATAAATGGATTTGGAGGATTAGTATGTCATAGCAAATATTGTTAAACTGACTTGTTTCACGTTTTGGCTTGTAGATGCTGGAAAAACCAAGAAAACCAAACATGTTCTTATAGTCTGGTTCTCTGACCCCACTTAAGGTGAAACCGAACAATTTATAGACTTCGGGGAATTGTAAGTTCAGAGAATCAGTCTAGTAGAATTTTACCACTTCACAAGTGTGTAGTCAACTGCAAAGAAAATGTGGAATAACTAAATATGAAAAATTAGGAGCATTTTTTGAAAAAAAAAGAAAATTTTCTCCAACGCTGGTCGGCCGACCAGCGTTCGAAAAATACAACTTTTCTTGAAAATGTCAGCACACCAGGAGCCACGATTTTACAGGATGCTTTAGACTGTCGTTCCCTAACAATCTAGAAAGGTATTTTGTGATAATTTGATCATTTCGTTTTTTGATGTTTGCAAATGTTGTATCTTCCCTTTAACAAAGGAAGAGCAACATGATATTTTTATCCACTTCATAGACGACCGAAATGGTCCCATAATTTCCAAGGACCTGTAGGAATCAGATTGGTAAAGCGAGAGTAGCAATCGTTCGGAGGGATTTCAGCAGTGCCTTTGAACTTTGAAGCTCAGCGAAACGATTGGCAATAAATCCCTAATCAGCGGCCTATCCGATGTTGCCATATATACCATGAACCCTGCTCCCTCTGAAGTCTCCGGCTTATACAGTCCCCGGTCTCCCTGGGATTGCCAGGGGCAATGTTTGCAGAGTGAAAATGTGCGAATTAAGGGAAAGGGGAAAAAAGGGAAGGAATGGTTAAAAACGGAACAATGCCCTGAATAAGATTTGCACGTCAATTGTAGCTGGAGGGCAACATGGGGCTCTGTCCTGACTGGAATTATTGCCGGTTTTTTTTTTTTGACTCGCAAGTTTGGAAGCTGTCTTATGCAGTCAATCCGCAGAAAAGTGACCGAGACAAGTGGTCAAAGCAGTGGGCATATGGACAGTCGGAGGTTTATTGCAAAGTGGAGGATTTGGGTAATTCACGGTCCGCCGTTTGTCATTATTGTCACTATGAATAACTTGAGCACTTTGAGCAGGTTGCACAATTTGTCCAGTTTTGAAGTCGATCTCTCTGTGCTCTTCAAATGATTTATTTTGGTTGGTTCTTCCCATGAGTTTTAAATTTGCATGCTTTATTTTAACAAAAATACTGCATGAAGGGGCACCTATACCCCTCCAATACAGTCTTTTATTTTTGGTTGTTTTTGCATCTCTCTAGTGCAAAAAAAAAAAAAAATGACTTGTTGTCGGTCCACAAAAATGTCAAAATATTTCATAACTCGGTGTCTCATTCAAAAGTGAATTTTTTGGATGGTGCAGAATTACCTAAGTTATTTGTACTCTTCATCAATAGTGTTTTGACAACTTCATCAGTAAGAATAACATCACCCCACAGCTTTGGTTTTCTCAGCATTGATTTCATGAATCGTGGGTATTCGCAAGAATGCCCCGGTGGCAATCATGTATACATACATTCTCTAGAGTCTTCTGTTCTGTGGATGAACTGACACTGCGGTTTGGCATTTTACACAAACCATTTTGTGGTTAAGGGCTGTTGGAATATTTGGGAGGTTGGTGGCTTTTGAATTAAAACAATTGAGTGAAAACGTA